GAAACAGCATATGAGCTGCAGTGTTTGGTCTTGTGAACTGTGGATCTTGGATTCTTTGCTCAAAACACATTTGACTATAAGTTGGGAATGGGATTCTAAAGATGGCACATTTAAGTTTTTAAAATAAATTTTACTCAAAATTATAAATGAATAGATGAAACTTATATAAAAGTAAAACAATTTTCTTTGATAACTACCTAATTTAAATCAGCTTTTTGCCAGAACTAAGATATCCTGAGACAGAGGTCCACTAGAATAGTTTATATCTGTGTATGTATATTTATGTTATATATCTACATATACATGATGTGTGTTAAAAAATTTTTCTCTATCACATTGAACCTATAGTTCTATAAATTGTTTTACATTTTTCTCCATAACATATAGTTCATTTTTTATCAGTATATATAGACCAACTTGTGTAAATTAAATGATATTCCACTGTTTGGTAAACCATTGGTTAATTAATGCATTGATAATATATTTTTATTATTAAACACAATCATGAAAATGACATCTCCATAATGGCTTCTTGGGCAACATATTCAATTGTGATTGAAAGTCATACACAGAGAAGTGGAGACTTTAAATTATATTTGTATATTTAGTTTTCTACTACAGCTATTATACTGAAAGTTGGATAGGAATGAGAAGTCTTGTTTAGATTTGTATCCTTGGAATCTTGCACAATGCCAAGGGCTTTAAATCTGTATACAATTGTTGGATAAAGTAATATAGTGTCGTCATTATTATGATACAAAGATATATGGATGGAGTTGGAGGCAGAGACAGAGCCTCTATAAAGAGATCCTGATAAAGATTTTTCCTTGATTTATGAGATAAAAAAATCAGATCAAAATGTTTAAGATGAAACATTTGCTTCATTATTGAGCAAATATTGCATTATTGAACAAATAATGCATTATTGAGCATTTGCTGTGTCAGATCCTATGCTAGGTATTTTGCGTATATTGTCTCATACATACACCTACAGCAAACTTATTGGCTAAGCAATATTCCTCTAAGTTACTGATGGTAAAACAGAGGCTCAGAGAGATAAATAACTTCTCTGACTTTACATTGCTACTAAATGGGAATGTTGAAATTGAACTAAATCTTAGAGTTCTTTGCTTTTAAGAATTGGGTATAGGAAGTACAGAGGACGCTGAAAACACCTGGTACAGTTTTCAAAGGTATAGAAATCTTAGTAGACCTTAACAAATGAGGTAGTTTTATATAGTTGTAATGAGTCACTCTGTGTAGCTTGTGAGTTCCCAAATGCATAGACCTCAAATGAACGGAATGGGAAAAGGTTGAATCAAGTGTTCATCCCAGTAGAGACCAGTAAGTTAGATGAAGAGGGTACTCACATTTATTTTCAGATTTAGATCCACTTTTGTCACTAATTTTATTGCCTTATTCAAACCTGTATACCTTCGAATGGGCCAGTATTATTTAATTTCAGAGGGTAATTGTGACATTTAGCTACGTCCTCATCATTGAATTTCAGAGCTGGAAGGACCTTGAATGATCACAATTCAGCCTGATGCTTGACTAATGAGGATGTGAAACTCAGAGAGGTGAGATCACTTATCACAGTCACACAGAGATGAACTAAGGTTTAGAATGCCACTGGTTGGTCTTACTCCCAAGCTTTGTTTTTTTCCTCTACTGCAGCACAAATTTGTGAAAAGAATGAAGGACTGCACAGTTGTAAGCAAGGGTTATTAAATTTACCCACTGTCATTTTCTAGACTATTCAGAAACTCAGCTGACACCTCTGTGTGTTATTCCAGTCTATTTTCAGGAGAAGTTCATGTCACATATGACCTTGTTTCTAACCTGTACCGCAATTATTTTTGAATCTGTACCATTTTACTACTGCAGCACTAAGCTTCTTGAATTAGGGACTGTGCTTCCTCTTCCTTTCCCCCAATTCTTACCATCCTGTCCTTAATCCCTGGAGAGCAGCTTTAGGATCTGCTGAAGTTTTATTCTGAATATGGATAGCCGAATCATTTCTTTTTTAGAAGTTCACCTTTCTACTTCCTTCCTGATTTATGTTTCTGGACCCCATTTGTTTGGCAGTATTCATTTTAATTCAGCAAAGCAAGTGGTCTCCCAAGGGAAGGTGAGAAGGAGGGACATCTGGAGACTATTAGCATCAGGATCTGTGGTTTGCCTCTTAGCACCCTGGGGCCTAATGTTAGACATTGGTCCCAGGTCTTCAGTGTCTGGTTGGAGAAGGCAATTTCTAACCCCCTTAGGGGCCCACAGGCAGATCTCCTTTGGGGGCCAGGATTAGTGGGAATACTAATTAATTCATTAGTGGAGTTGATGGATTATCAAGCTGTCTCCTGGCAGAGGGGCCTTGGAGGGGGGGAGCAGATTGCTGCCCATAAATCTGCCTGTTGCCTCACTTTTCTCTGCTTCAATGGCTCCCGGCGTCAGGCCTGTGGGCCAGCAACTGAGTGCTGGTCTCATTCTCCCCACTCAGCAGATGGTGGTAACAGGTAGGCTCAGAGCTGTACAAAAAGCAGTAGAGAAAGAGGCAAGGGCTGGAGAATTGGCTCTCTGGCCCAGGAGCCATGTGGGGGGAGGAGGATAAATGCAAATACTCTTCATTCTCTTTTCCTAGGTCAGTCACCACCCCCTTTCCTTCACTGACTGCACACGCCCCTATTGCTCCTTCTTGCCCTTTCAGAGTTCAACAACCAACAGTACAACTGTCCAAGGAATTGTAAAGAGAGAGTGACCCCGATAAAATAGATTCTACCCTTCCCTCTGAAAAAGGCAGCTCTTAAAGAAAATTCAGCATGGTCCATTCCTTTCAATGCTCCACGAGTATGCACACGCACACACACACACACAAACACACACACACACTCACACAATTGAATGTATTTTGAAGGCTAATCCTATTATGTGCACTCCCTTACATCTGTCAGAGAAAGCAAGGAGCCCTTGCAGAATGTTCTGTCCCCACCCTCATCTTTGTCTCAATATGTTCACCTTTCTGCTAATCTGCTATCCTCCCCTCCCCCTGAAAATTGTGCAGGCAGGGCACCAACACCACCAATACCATCCACTTTTAACCATGGACATGGCTTTGAAAACACAAAGCAGGGGATCAATCCATTCAATAAGGCTCATTGAACAACTATTAAGCAGCTCTAGCCTAGACACAAATTATTCCATAGATAACTTCCCTCTGGCTGAGGAGTTAATGCTGATTTGGTTTTCAGAAATCCACCATTCCTATCCTGTGTTGCTTAATTAATCAGAAAATAAAGCTTAGTCTGCTAAACAAATGTTTCCTGGATAGGGATACAAAAGAGATTAGTAAGAGTTTAAAGATTGCTGAAAATGAGTAACTTCTGAAAACTAAATGTGTTAATTTTTATTCTTCATTTTTCTGTGACAAGAGTTATATGACATGTCAGAATTTAAAAAACACTAACTATTTAAATGTATCTATTTAAAATCTAAGATATTCTTTAACTTCATTGGCAATAAAACTATCTTTTGTGGCTGGGGAGGTAGCTCAGTGGAAATGCATATACATAGCATGCATGAAGCCCTGGGTTTGGTCCCCAGTAACAAACAACAAACAAACAAACAAACAAAGAAATGATATTTTTAAAAAACTCTGTGCACAAAGCATATCTACTTCCCTCATCATTATTAGACATATGTGTCAGTTATGTTGGTAGAGCAAGTGATTTCCAAAAAGCCAGGGAAATTTTTCTCAAGTAAATTTCAGAAGGAAATTGTGCTTGGACTCAGAATTCTATCATGATACTGAGGGGAAAAACTTAAATGATCAGCTCATCTTACAGTTGTGAAAACATGCTCAGAGTGAAGCTGATTTGCTTAACCTCAGCATTCCTTTTTATCCCTCTTCAGATCACTAGATGATTGATTATAAAATACTTGACATCTTAAAATGAACTCACAATTATTTATTTGCTCTTGGTTAAGTTTTCAAAAGGTACTATGTATAGCAATATATTCATTTCAAATTATTTCAGATGTTTTCTCTTTTGTCTTCTAGCAATTTAATCCCATTTCATAATGCCAAAGAAGTTTTAGGGATTATACAACCCCTCTTTTTTTCCAAGTTTATTACCACTCAAGTGGACTTTTTCTACCTGAATGATTAATGATATATTTTGGAAAAACAATAGTGGATTCTAGTTTGTAAATCAAGGAAAAAATATTAAGAGAATGGTTTTAATTGTTTGCTTTTTGTTTTAATACATTACAAATGAACAGAAAATTAAAACAATAGTGCAACAAACATTCTATGTTTATGAGTTAAAACAAGAGTTTTAAAGGGAATAAGTTTGATACGCTGAAAAGTAGGAAAAGGCAATTACTTCTTCCTTCTGCTTTTGGAGCTCTGAAGGGGAGAAAGGACACTAATCCACGTGTGTAAGAAAACAGTCACTGATACTGTGTTCTCAACCTGTCTCTCATTTTCTGATTAGTTGCAGAAGTGGGCCAGCAGTTTCATTTGTCCTTCTCAGGTCTCGCTTGCCGCCTCTCCCCAACTTCCTTTCCCCATTCTGTTCTCCATGCTTCACTCTTTTTAATCTTGAAGGTTTCCAGTTCTCTTTTTCTTTTCCCCTCAACTTCAGCAACTTCCTCCCATGTTCTCCTTCTACGATCCCACCCCTGTTTAAATAAACACACGCAGTGGCAAAGCTGGACCTGGTCAGAGGGGCCCTTTCCAGTGGGCGTGACTTTCCCTGGGGGAGGGGAGGAGCTAGACTGTGGGCAACACCACCCCCTCCCTGGTCAGCTGGCAGAGCAATCAAAACTGCAGCAGGTCCGTGGATCCGGCCAGAGCGCAGGAGCTGCCCAGAGGTTGTGGTCCTGAAAGAAAGTGTCACTCCGGGAGCTAACCAGGGAGGAGAGGTCCTGAAGGGACCGACAATACCAATCGCAACGGAGGCATCATACCCAGGCATCTTGGGGGAGAATCAGAACTCCAATGAGTAGAATAAGTATCATCCAGAAGAACCAGACCAGGAGGAATATTTAAGAGGTAGCTACAGGTTTAATATGGATCGCTGAAAGCACCTCTTTCTCCCATGATCTGCATGGTCAGGGGGCCTTGGCTTCTCTGACTGTCTTCTAGGACAGAGTTACAGAATTCACCCTGGGAACTGCTACTAACTGAGGTGAGCCAGTAGACGGGATGGTGGTAGTGGGGGCCACTAAAGTTTCTGTGGGGAGTTCCTGTAGATCTGGAAGAGTGACTGGGGTGAGGTAAGTCTCTTCTGGGATAAGGGAGGAGAGAAGAGGATTTAGGAAACTTGAATGTATAAGTAGAGGGAGTCTTTTAAGAACATATAAAATAGATACACATTTTAATAATTTTATTAAATTTCATAGCACCTGACATCCAAAGTGAAACTCATAGATACTGTAAATCATTTTTATAAAGTGAAAACTAGAAATCAAGCCCACAATGACATTACATTACTAATGCCAAAAAACACCCAGAAGTTTAACTGCTTTTCTAGAGTGGTGTGGCAAGTCGGTTAGAAAAATTGCCCAATCCACAACTCTGGTCTCTGTACTATAGACATAACTAAGGAGTGGAAGGGAAAGAGGGAGGTGAAAATCAAACAAAGAATGGGAGAGTATTTTGGAAACCATGGCAGAATATTCTCACCACTGCCTGATTTGGTTTGCTAAAATTTTTTGAATGATTGGAATGGGATGAAGGAAATGTTTTTCCCCTAGCTCTTTCAGATAGGAAATCAGAAAAGGAAGATTGCCTAAGTATATTTTTCCCTTTTGTGATTTACACTCACTATTTTCCCACAGAAGAAGTATATTTAAAAAATACTAATGAATGTACAATGCTCCCCTCACTTTTGACAAAGGGATCAGAGATGACATCCATGGAGGGAAAATGGAAGGGTTGACAAAGTTTACCATTAAGATTTGAGGTTGTGGAAACTGAGGCATAGCATGGCTTTGCCAGATAAAATGTGTATGTGCGTGTTTGCATACTTTCTAATAAAAAAGTAGAGTATAAAGAGTTGGGTAGGGAGAGCACAGAAAAGCCTACTGGTTGTTTCCAAGTAGGGCTACTTGTGAGCATTATGATCTGTAGTTTGCCTTTTTATTGCAGACTGTGCAACTCTGAACAAATCATTTGGTTTATCTGGTCCTTACATTCCTTAGAAACTGGGTTGGACAGTTGTTTTCCTGTTGTATTTAGAGTTATTGTATCAGGTGGTAAAGGAATGCTGTCATTTTTTAAGGCCAAGGACTCTATCCAGCTTCTATGTACACATGTGCAAATGCCTCTAACTCACTTATTCATCAGTTGAAACTTCTCCAAAGTAAAAAATTAATAAAAGTGTAGGAAGAATTCCATGACAGCATCATATGGTTGTAATGCAAAGTAACCTTGGCCTCAGTGTAATGAAAACATTGAATAGTCACAAAGCAAAAACTTTACTAGAACAGGTTTATAAATGAAAAAATGGGAGATATATTTTGACTTAAAGAGACTAAATTAAAGTTGAAATTTCATTGAAGAATTCTAAAGAAAGAGGTATATTCTGCCACATTGTTTAGGTAACAAAAACAAGGCCAAAGACTAAATGGGCTTTATAAGATCAGAACATGTTTTTATGTGCTGATGGGGAAGGGGCTGGATTCTGTTCCCAGCACCAGTATCCATTGATTTCTGTCATATTGGAGTCTGCTTCCTATATGTTTTGAATGATAATTTCTTTTCTGGAATTGAGGACATCTGAGATGATTTATCTTGATATTTTTTGTGATAGTGATATAGATTTTCCCATAATACAGTTTCCAGAAAACAATTTCCAAACCTATGTAAAACAGTTTTACAAAGTAAAGCATCCAAATAAAGTAGAAAGGGTGAATGCATTTTCATTTTCCCCCCAGGATAAAGGAATTAAAATAATTTGTGCTCATTCCATAAATGAGCAATGAAAGAGGGTCTTAGTTTCATGATTCTTAGTACAACTCCGAGACAACTCTGAGGTGGTTTACTAACAAGCCAAAAGCTGCATTTGATTTAGGTACCTATCAGAACCCAGTTAGTTTCTTTTGCCAAAACTCAAAACTGTGCCATATACATTTTCAAAACTCAAATTTGGAACTGGGTTTTCTCTTTCTTCCTTCAGCTAACATTTTGATGCCTTAAAAACACTTAGAAAAAGAGAAGGTTTTAAAAATTTATTTTTGAGGCATCTTGGCTTTTACTTCTATTTAAGAGACAACTTCATTTTCTTCCTAGAGCTCTGTCATTTGTTTTTTGTGGGAAAGTCATATTCCCCATATAGATAATCAAAGGTAAAATGTCCTAGTGACAAGGATTTTCTGTATTCCACCAGACGCTCTTTAATCTCAAAATTTATACAAATAAGTAGGAATATCTAGCCAATGTATTCTCCCAGTTATAAAACAAAATGAAACTTAAGGAGTTAACCTTTCTGAATACAATGGAAGAGTTCTAATCAATCCAATAGAGGCAGCTGATAGTTTGGTGGCCCACCCCACATGGCAAAAGAGGACCTTTGGTGTTTAGTTTCATTAGGAGTTAGAGAGAGTACGAATATAAGGGAATTCTTTTATAAATGAGTGTTGAAATGGAGCCATTGGCTTTTGTTGACATGAAATCAATGTTAGGCAAACTTTTTTTTTGTACCTGGGAATGAACTCAGGACCTTGCACTTGCGAGGCAGGCACGGTGCCACTGAGCTAAATCCCTGGCCCAGGCACACATTCTAATTACACCTATTTTTGACCAAGCAGCTAGGAAAACTCATGATGAAGTTTAAGAACAATTATTCCTAAAATCTATGTGGAATTTATTGTATCTGGCAGTATCCAGAATGCTTTAAGTATATTAACTCATTTTGTGCTCATAATAATCCTATGAGTTAGAAAAATTATTATTAGCATTTTAAAAAGGAGAAGACTGAGGAAGATAAAGTTTATAAAACTTACTTAATGTCACATATCTGGTAAGTGACAGAGCTAAAATTTGAACCCAGGCAATCTGTTCTTCCCATGATCAGCAAGAGAACCAAGGTAAAAAATTGTTGTCTGTTTTAGCTGTTTTGGTCAAAGACAGTTGGTTATTTCCCTTCACACTTGCTAACAATCTGATTGTTACAGAAACTAAATATGCTAAATGTAAATGTGGTCTGTTCTGTTCTCCTAATGCCACTTCTTGATGGGGTAACTACTGACAGCTCTTGTAAAAGTCCAGAGGTACAGAGGTAAGGATGGTAAAGAACGCCAAATATCAAGATTGTGTGGAACTGAGATCCAAAGGCAAGGTAGAAAGCTCTTCTCCCTTTCACCCTTTCTTCTCTTCCATCTTTCTCATCTCTCCATGCATGCAGGTATGGCTCAGAGTAGTGACAGTAATGATGAGGGAAATAGGAAAAGGAAAAGGAGGAGTATGTAGAAGAGAAGAGGGATGATAAGTTAATGGAAAGTAACAGTGAAAACACTTGGAAAAGAAAGAAATTCTGGATTTGAGGTTTAAAATACACACCAGAGAACCTCTAAAGCAACTTGCCTTTGAATGATGATCACCTCTGTTGACTTACTTCCTTTGATCTACAGCTGCTAAAATCAAAGTGACTTTCTTCTTGGAGCTGTGATGAAATAAGAAAGGAAGAAAAAAAGCACAAAACCTAGGATTAGAATCAGAACTGGTTTCATGTCCTTTACTTGCTCTGTATCTTTGCATTTCCATCACTTAAATGACCTGATCCACAGTGACTCTGACTATAAAATGAGCACAAGCATTCCTATTGCTGTCAAAGGTTTGCTGTAAGGAACATATGAATTAATGGATGCAAAAGTGCCCTGAAAACTTTAAAATGCTACACAAATGTTATTATAATTACATAGGGAGCATTAGGTTTCCCAAGCCCACTCAACCCTTTTTGGCCTTGGAGTGCACCTGCCTCTGGAAGATCTGTGTTACTTTAAAAGAAAGTTAATTAGGTCCTTCAACATCCCTTTGGATATCTGCCCAAGTTAGAAGCACAGCTCAGCATAGAAGCTCCATCATCCATATTAAAAGTGGGATTTTCTGATTTGGCCTGGGCAGCCAGTTGACCAATAGGTTCCAATGTGTGTTTTCAATAAAGCTGCTTACCCAGGAAGCCTTATTAAGTGAGTAAGTCAAGCTGACATGATTTCTGTGCTGATTAACATGAAACCTAGGCTGTTTTCGCAATGCAGTAACATTAATTATTTATAGGAGGTAAATGAGGTTACAAGGAAAACAAGCTCCAATTACCAGAAACAAATCAAATCATATATTTATATTTTAAAAAGCTATGTACTAATCCCTGCATTCATTGATTTGAGGCTCAAGCTTTAAGGATCAAAAAACATTTATTATGTTCTCCTCTTTCTCATAATCAAAGGTGATGGAGGGTTTAATGTTTTAGACTACCCGGTAAACTGGGAAGCCCCAATAGAGCTTATCAGTTACTTTTATTTAGTAAACTATGTACCTGAAAATTGCTCAACAAATTTCAAAACAATTTAAACTATTCTAGATATAAAAGCAAAATATTTACTAAACCACTCAGTTTTGTCTGTTTTTTGAATAATAAAATTTTCACAAAAAAACCCAATTAAACAGTACTGTATCTGTTTGGCAGGTGAAATAGCGTATTTCTGTGCTTACCTGAAATAGTCCTCTCTTGTCTTTGCAGTCACTATATTCTTTTTAGTTTAGCATTTGTCCCGTACTTTTCATTTTAACAAAGTATTTTTAAAAATAGTTGCACTGAGGGCCGGGGATTTAGCTCAGTGGTTTTGCTGCCTGCTGCACAAGCGCAAGGACCCTAGTTTGATCCCCCGTACCAAAAAAAATAAATAAATAAAAATAATAGTTGCACTCAAATAGTCTTGGATGGGTTTATTAGACCACTGGCTTATATTTCTGGGTGTTACCTTGGTCATGTCTGATGGTGTGAGATGCATGGGGAATGAAGAATTCTCATTTTAACATATATGCAAATTTGATAGATGACCAGTGATAACCATTCTTACTTTTCATGATCCTTTCAAGACACCATGCCACTAACACCTCTGACACTACTAATACTAGGCAGCAGTTATTTAAAAACAAAATGCTCTTCCAATAGTGGTGAGATAAATATCTGCTGGTCATATGGCACACCAGACAGTTGTACAATGGCCATTTCCTAGAGGATGCTTGAAGCCATCAGTTGGCAGTGCCAGTGGGAAATATGGAATATTACAAGTTAGATGTATGTGAAATGCCTCTGAATAGAAGCTTAACAGCCCTTTGTAGAACACATAAAAGTAGTCTGAAAGATCTTGCTACAGTTATTCATTTATTTTTATGGTATAATTGTGCAAGAGTTTACTTATTTAACTGTTTAATTTTTTTATAACTTTTTAATAATGTATTTATAATTATAATTATTTTAGCAACATCTTTTACTTTCTGAAATTTCTCTGTGTTGGTGATTTATTAATTTATCCCATCTTATCTATTTCTTTTATTCCATATATCTGGGAAGAAAGAAAAAATATATGTTTGGACTTTTATACTTCTATCTTTGTGTAAAATATCCATGAAATAAAGAACCTGAGACTAAAAAGAGTTAGACACTAGCACTGCAATGAATAATCAAGTCAACTTTCTTTTTCTATAGATGATTTTTTTATAATATGGTAAAACTAGTTGAGTGTACTGGGCATTCTTTGAACCTTGGGTTAATCATTTAAAATGGAAGACACAGACAACTGTGAATGAATACCAATGTAAAGCCTTTGCTCTATATCCAATGTATAAAATGAAGATTCAGTGTCAAATTAAGTCAAGTATTCACAGGAATTAATTTTTTCTGTTTCCCTTTTCCAGAATCTGGAAATGGCAAAAACTTATGTGAAATCCAAGGAGATAGTAGAGCTGGTCAACACTCAGACCTTCATGGACAAAGGTCTGTGCTCTCAAAATGAGATGAAGGGAGAGGAGAGAAGACCTGGTGCTTATGGGATGCTTGGAAGCTTGACTGAAGAGCATGAAAGTATTGAAGAGGAAGAGGAGGAAGAAGATGGAGAAAAACCTAAGAGAAGAGGTCCCAAGAAAAAGAAGATGACCAAAGCTCGCCTTGAGAGATTCAGGGCTCGAAGAGTCAAGGCCAATGCTAGAGAACGGACCCGGATGCATGGCCTGAATGATGCCCTGGACAACCTCAGGAGAGTCATGCCATGTTACTCTAAAACCCAAAAGCTTTCCAAGATAGAGACTCTTAGACTGGCTAGGAACTACATTTGGGCTTTGTCTGAAGTCCTAGAGACTGGCCAGACACCTGAGGGGAAAGGTTTTGTGGAGATGCTCTGTAAAGGGCTCTCACAGCCTACAAGCAACCTGGTGGCTGGATGCCTCCAGCTGGGCCCACAGTCTATCCTCCTGGAGAAGCATGAGGAGAAATCTCAGATTTGTGACTCTACCATCTCTGTCCACAACTTCAATTACCAGTCTGCAGGGCTCCCTAGCCCTCCTTATGGCCATATGGAAACACATATTTTTCATCTCAAGCCTCAAGTATTCAAGAGTTTGGGAGAGTCATCATTTGGGAGCCACCCCCCTGACTGCAGTACGCCCCCTTATGAGGGGCCACTCACTCCACCTCTGAGCATCAGTGGGAACTTCTCCCTGAAACAAGATGGGTCTCCTGACCTGGAAAAGTCCTACAGTTTCATGTCACATTACCACTCTGCAAGTCTAAGCTCAGGGCAGGTGCATTCAACTTCCTTTCAGGCTAGCACTCCCCGCTATGATATTCCCATAGACATGTCTTATGATTCCTATCCTCATCATGGTATTGGGACCCAACTCAATACGATCTTCACTGATTAAGGTAATAACATCTGCATTTCAGAGAATGATATGGAGACATTTCCCATAATTCAAGTGATTGAGCTGAAGATTCAAAGACTTTAAACAGATGCTATGGATATATAGCAAACAATAATCTGAGTCCATTTAGGACCTCCAATAGCTGTCCTCCTCTTTTGTCATCAATTTCTCACATTGTATTGACTCAAGTGAAATTATTTGATGACTTACAACTATGTGGTAACAGAAGACCTAGGCCCTATTACAGTGGTGCCATTGAATAATCTATGCCAACTAATTTTCCATTTACTGGTGATAGAAGCAGTTGTTCTAAGTTTAGATAATATTTACAGACTTTTTGGTTCTGGAATTATATAACATTGGTGAAAACACATAAATTTCTTAAAACTGACAAAAATAAAGCAATGCTAGGGAATAAACAGTATGCATGAAATGATCAAATGGAGTTACTGAAGGGGGCAAGTCTGTTGGCAGAGAGAATGCAAAGTTTGTTTGAACTTGGTGACAAGACTTTGTATCTATCTAAAAATAGCTTCTAGAAGCTAACAGTCTAACTTGGCTGTCATGTGAATAGATTAGTTCTATTTCTCATTGGATTAGAAATTGAAAATATCTTTCTTAGTAATTTGAAAACCACAAGAGAACATCATGACTAGTCTTATAATATTTCAAGAGCACTTTTCTTAGTACTAAAAGTAGAGCAACAAAATCATTGAAGTATCAGCCTTCTATGACCAGTGGAACATGGAGAAGTCATTTTGATCACTTCATGGCCTCCATAACCAGAAGGGGCTGGAAATTCTAACAATGCTCAGGTGCTGCTATTGGAATCAGCACACAACCCAGGTTTACATTATATAGCAATAAAAATGGTAGTTGGCTCCACTAACTACCAGTTCAGGGACTCTTTCTAGCTTATTCTTATAGGAAAAGCACTAGCAAGGTGAATTTTATTTGGCTAAAGTAAAAATTATTAAAACCACTGACCTCTGTTCACACCATATCATATTTTTCAGAAGCACAGCACTAGTAAATTTATTGATCAAGCTTGAATTTTTCTAACATATATGCAATTGCTTATCTCTCTCACCATTAATTGTTACCTCTTCCTCACTTCTTTTTTTTTTTTTTTGGTACCGGGGATCAAACTCGGGTCCTTGCGCTTGCTTAGCAGGCAGCAAAACCACTGAGCTAAATCCCCGGTCCTTTATTATTTTATTTTATTTTATTTTTTTGGTACCGGGGATCGAACTCTGGTCCTTGCACTTGCACAGCAGGCAGCGAAACCACTGAGCTAAATCCCCAGCCCCCTCACTTCTAAGATACAATATGGTATTACACTCTGTATATAACGTTTCAAGCAGTGAAACTCGGGGATTCAGAAAGAAAGTCCAAGGTCAGTGAATGCTTTTACCAGATTTTATCTTCATCATAAATTTAGTCCAATCCACTGGAAGTGCACTGTTCCTTACGTAACTTCTCTTTCCTTTATATTAACACTAACTTTGTTGAGTTTATTTTTCACTCAGGAAATAAAATCTGAGAAATTTCAGTACTGCTCAATCTGCCAGAACAATTAACTTATGTTCGAACCAAGAACATCATAAATGACTTATTTAATAGTAGATCGGGTCCTGCTCCTGCCAGAGAGAGTACAATTAGTAATACAGATACACTGATAGGTCCAATGAACAAAACTGATAAGACAGATTAGTATGTCATTTCTACAGTTTAGTTACCTCCTAACATCTGCCAGACTGTATGTGTATCTTATTTTAAAACTCCTCTTATTTATTTCTTTGTAGTATAAGTTATGTTGTTTCCCTTTCTTTGTAGCACTTATTCTGCCGTATTTTGCACCCTTGGTTTGCAAGCCCATTTGAAAGTAATTTTGTAGAGAGATTTTAACCTCCATCAGCCACCAAAGTGACTCCCCTCATCATGATCTGCCCTAGTACAAATAGGCAAGTAAGATGATTTATAAAGCCATCCTATCTGCTGTCTCAACATATGCTGGTGCTCACCTGCATGGAGGGATATGGGAGACTTTATCTTTAAAGCTAGTATTTTCTGGCATTAGTAGATAATACATGTTGTCTGAGTTATTTATTAGATATTATTTATTTTATTTATTTCCCACTTCCTTTTATGCAACTTCTTTGGGGCACATAGACATGCTATAGACAACTCCACCCTCCCACAAAGCTTCATTTGGAAAGAAGCTCATAATTTTGCTAGGAAGTACTGAGTTTTGGAGTGAGAGGAATATAAGTAATTTGGTTCATAATTGCTTGTTATTATTTGGATGGCTATTCAACTAAAGTTTTTAGATTTTTTTTCCCCTTCACTCTAAGATGAGCCAGAGGGGTTTTTTGGAACATGTTGTTTATGTCTTCGGAGAGTATAGTACCCATGAACCAGACCTTCCTGGAATTGTGCAGAGGGATTTTTAAATTGAATTCAAAATGCAGTATGCCTGGAATGGTCCTACTCTTCAAACCAGAGCAGTTTCATCCTTTTGTGGACTTTTTCAGATAAAACAAAGCAATTGTTTAAATCTTTTGTTTAAAAGTACGACTGTTTTTCCTCCCTTTTTTTCTAGCAGAAATAAAGCTGTGAGTCTTACCAGACATTGTGTTGTGTTGTTGATCTTCAAAGCTTGTCTTCCCTCTCCTCTATTCATTTTCTTGGGCTCCATGGTCTGCAAGCAGCGGAACACAGGGCAGCCTTTCCAGAGGATTTACATGTCCCACAACTCAGCTGGTCTTCCCAGGATCTTCGAAAGGTCTAAAAAGCTAGGAGTCTGGCAGCATCATTCTCTGTCTCTCATACAACAAAGCATAGAATCTGCAGCTGAGAACAACAAAAATAAATAAATAAAGCTTATAATAGGAATCTTTAGGGCCATGGGTAGTCCAAGTTATCACATCATAGAGAAACAGATGATGGCAAGAAGGGCTGTTATCTACAATGTAAGTGTGCCTACCAACTTTTCAACAAATTATGAAGGATGTTTTTTGTTGACTGCTTTTAGCATCTTTTCTCTTAAATTTTTTGTATTTTTTTTTCTAGTTAAAACATCCAAGACTCCCTTCTTATATGCATAGGATACTAATTTTAAAGAAATAATAATGACATTGATAATAAATATAAACAAAGTTGATTAATCATGGGAAGGACTTGGCTTAAAATTTTTAAGAAACAAAAAATATAGAAAGTCATCTTTCCACACCTATCTTCCATCTGCTAGTTCATGCTCAGAAACTTGAAACTGCTTTAAAAAATATTTGATTTTTCAGTTATCAGAGATCTATGCTTACATAAGCAAATAATAGGCGCATTAGGCATACATACTAAGATGTATTATGCTCTCCTTTTTTCCCCCTACAAATGAGAGTATAAGAAATACAGGTCTATATGATACCTTTTAAAAATATTTAAGCACATATCTTGGCATATTTTCATATTTAATAGTTTTCTAACTCTATTATAACTGGCCATATTTCTGCATTAAATACTATAATTCATGAAATTAAATCATATAAATTATATTTTTCCAATCTAACACTGAAAGATTGCACATGCATCATTTGACATTTATCAAGAGAGCCTACTTTGAAAAGAATGTTTCAAAGAGGCAAAAGATAAACTGACAGATCACAGCAACCCCATCTCTTAGTTATTGGGTGCTTTCCATGTGATGTCACTTTTCTAAGTGATTTATGAAAATTACTCAGTGTTGAAGTCACTCGTCTAAGGCAGTCACTATTACTCCCAGTTTGCAGATTAGGAAGCTAAGGCAGAGTAATTTGAACTCTCATTATTAGTGAAGAATGGAGCCAGAATTTGAACTAGTTGGTTCATCCAAAAGATTTGAATAATTTTTCAGTGCTTATTTGTTTGGTAGGTACACAACTTTGGAGCTGGTGAAAGTGGAGTGAACCTGAGAGAAGACTCACTTTCCTTTGACAAAAGCTCAACTTTTTATTAGACTTTGCCTATGCAGCCTGTGTAGATGTACAGGACATATCAGATCAATACCTAGTTGCTAGACAATGCCCATCTTTCGGAGGGTATAAATCCATTTCATACCTTCATCTTTAGAGTTCAAGAAAAATGTTTTACTAGGGAATTATAATATGAAAATAATAAAATCTTCTGCCAATGTAGAACCATCCTAATTTCAAGTTTAGTTTCTTTAATCTATACAACTTTGGAGAATGGTTTGTTGTAGTAATTAGACCATCAACTTTAGAATCAAATAAGGGATATATTTGATGCACAACTTATTGGTTGAATCATCTTTGTTGAACTTATTTACTTGCAAAGTCTCAATTCCCTCAAATTTAAGATAATGGTAAAAGAAATGCCTTCTTCATTGGATTAATTAATTGAGATAATACACCCAATGCACTTAGAAAGCATTTAATAAGTGGTACTTATTACCATCTATGTTACTATTCATTATTTCTGATTACATTCTCATAACTTCTCTCTGCCTCTAGCATATGGCTGGGGGATGGGAGATGGTGACGACAACAGGCTTGGAGAGTTCATTAAATTTTTAGTTATTAGGGTTGAGACAGATAGGGCTTGAATTTGAAGCTAACTGGCTGCATAGTCCTAGGAAAGTTGTTTAACTTCTGTGTTTCAACTTCCTTCTTTATAAAATGAAAACAATACTACCAAAGCTGTAGAGTTATATGAGAATTAAAAATGATCATGTCAGCAAAGATTTTAAGTCAGTTTCTGGGAAAGGGAAGCACTCTGCTATCATTCTTTTTATTACAGTTGGGAGTAGAGTGAGAACAGATGAAGGAATTGAGAACTGTAGGATCCTTTCAATTTATACACTAAATTGTTGATTGGAGCCAATATCAAAATTCAAGCCCTTTGACCAGAAATACATACATTGACACATGCTATTTTCCAACTCAACATACTTCTTTAATTAGACATTCTCAACAGCAAATTACTAAATTTTGGAAATAAAAATATTAAATTTTGCTCTATTTTCTAGGAATTGGTATAGAGCTAAGAGAAGCTTTGTAGTGATTTTTTTGCTGTCATTTGAGTTATGACTTTATAGAAAAAGAATACTCTTACCTCACAAATACATAATACCTCCTTTCAGTTAAATTTTACAAATAGTTATTGAGCATTTCCTTGGTGCTAGGCACTAAACTAAGTGCTGGGAGTACAAAAAATATGTGAACAGGTATTACCATCTGACATGACCATAAATGCATTTACACATTTATCACTCAATATTGGCAGCAATATGAGGCAAGTAGATCAAGTATTACACATTTTATTTGACAGGGGAGAATACTGAAACTCAGAAATTTACTGATTTGTGTGTCAAGCAATTACCTTGGAATGAAGACATAGGCTATGTGCTTCTAATGTTATTTTGTGTGTTTTCAATAAGTAAATTCCTACTTTTTGTGTTTAAATTAAACACATTTTCTGAGATGAGACTAATGAATTATTATGACAATTTTGAATAACTTATAGGTGGAATAACCTTGGTTTATTTACCTGGCAATACCTTAGTTGCTTTGCCAAAATGAATTACTAAAGCAAAGAAAATTATAACCAAGGTTAGATGCAGATGCACAGTAGCCAAAGAGACAGCTCATTATAAGATCAAAGGAACCTCATCATGGAAGTCATAATGCACATGACAATAAAGATGTTTGATCAGTGTCTTATATATCTATAAAGTAAATTGATTAACTTACTAAATGCGAAGTGAAGAAAATTTTAGAAAACAGTATCTCCATCCCTCTTTCTTTGACCTCTCTCTCTGCCCCCTGCTGCCATGTCATAGGCTGTTTCTCCTCTTCCATCCTACTCTGCCTATTGGCTGCAACCTCTACAAACCATGAACCAGAATAAACTTCTTAAAAAAAAAGACTCAAGGAAAGGAAGAGGAAATCGCTGCTGATTGGGCATCTTAACATGTAAAGTCATCAAGTTAAGTACTTTATATTGAGTTACTCTTCAAAACAGGCCATTGAAGTAGGTTCCAGATATCGTGGAAACGTAGGTAGAAATTTGTAAATAAATAAAAAAACATGAAAAATCATGTAAATCTCTGAGATTCAGCTTTCTCACCTATAAAGTAAGACACTTGTGCCATTAGATATTTAAATTTTTTATCATCTTAATATTTTCATAGTTTCCTGAGCAGCTAATGTTCATTTTCTCTCTGTCAGAGCAGCAAATACATATATTTTGGAAAAAAATAATGAATGAATGAACAAAAGATGGTGTATGATGCAAAATGGACTTCATAACATTGAAACCAAGGTGGTGTTTGGATGCTTTCTGTGGTTTTACAGTTGCTGATCTTAGTGTTTGTCTGCTGATATCAATTTAGAAGGCAAATTTTTTAGGCAGTGAACTTTCTCTTTAGAGATAACTACAGCAGCATGTTTGACAACTAAAAGGTTCATAATCTATATTTAGCTAAAATAAATTTATTGGAGGCCAAATGCAGAAATTACATAATTTTTACAATTGGGCAGTTGACTTTTTCCTTCTTTCAGTGAGAAAGAATAGGAAGATGTTGAGTATATGTTTATTTGATTGCAAATACAGTTAAGTTTTTAGATATGCATATGAATAATCTTTGTTGAGAATTATTAATGAAAAATATTTCATGTGAAGCTTGTTTCTCTGTGTCAGCTGATACATGTTGATTTTTTTGTTTGTAGACACGTATTAATGTGTGAATATTTGGACAAACATCAATGTATAAATGTGTGTATATGTGGATTGTATATTTGAAAGTATAAGTGCTTCAACACACATTTTGGTATATGTTGAACACACATATGTATGGATCTATGTATACTCACAAACAGATATATGTTTGAATGCAAGCTAAAGTCAAATGGAAATACTCTTTGGATCATTTAACTTTTGGCAAGTCTATAGGCATTAACTAACTGAACCTGAAGGTTAGGTCTTGTGAAAGAAGGTAAGGAAGAGGTATGGGAAGGAAGTAGGAGTCTAGATTTTCCTTTCAGGCTGGACCTGGGGGAAGCAATCTCTTAATGGCAAGCATTCTTCCTTGTCTAAGCATGTGCTCTCTCCTCATCTGAGAGCTGGCCTCTGAGCTCAGGCAGATCCAGGGCAGGCAGGCACGTGGCTGGCCCACTGAGGGCCAGGCACAGCCGCAAGCTGCTGAGGGACTCCTGGAGCAGAGTATCCCCTGGCTCCTGCCCACCCCACTGCTGCCAGCCGGCAGCTTCCCCCCTGCCAGACCCCTGGGCATGCTGATGGGAAGGGCACAATTACCTAATCCCTGCCCAGGGAGATCTAGGGCACATGCAGACAGATGGAGGATCAGGGGGATTCAGAGCTGTTTAGTATTGGTAGGGAAAAGAAGACAAACCTGGGAGCAATGGAACAGGCTCAAAAGGAGATCCTGAAATCTTCTTTTCTCTAAGCAGCTCCGACTTAAGCTGTTTCTCACTTGAATAGAAGTTCTGGAAGAAAGTACCTAGACCTTCCCCTACTTGCTGGCAAAGAACCTGAAAAACAGTACTGGCTCTCAGTGTCTTGGGCTCCATAAAGGAAAGAAAGTTATGGAGAGAACCAGAATTAGGGAGAGTCAGAGTTCCAGACCATGCAGAGAGGGTAATATAGTTAGACAGAGATGAAAGCAGCTCACGCAGGAATTTAGCACATCACCTTTACATGTTCCTTACCCCACACACATGTGTCCTTTTCCTCACTGCCACTGTTGTGGCTCAGGCCTTCAAGATCTGTTTGGATTCATGCAACAGTGCTCTTTCAAACTTCCAATCTTTCTGTACCCAATGTCTCTTTCCTCTTACAAGTCCACCCCAATCAAATATCTTGAAGTAAATCCAAAATTATATCTCTTCTTTGGTTAAAAAAAATTGCACTGGTTCTCCTATCATTACAGAATGAAGGCCAAACTTACTGGCCTAATATTTAATTATCTCTGCCACAACTGATTTTGGTCTTCATTTGTAATTATATGCAACTAATTCTTCCCTCACTTGCATCAGAAGCCACCCATTCTTTCTACCTGCCCTTCTGTGCCACTCCACATATAGCTCTGTATTTACCCTCTGGATTACTGTTCCTCCCATCAACACAAAGTGAAATTGGTACTTGTCTGTCTCTGCCCCATGGAGCGCTTTCTCTTCTGTCTTCACTTCCCAAAACTGTATGATTATTCAAGGCCTAGATGAAACTCTTCCCCCTTGGAACCTTTACTGAGTATCCCTGTAATTGTTATTTTTCCTTTTTTTTTGCTGTTTAGGAAATCATGATGATTGATGCTAAGAATTAAGTTGCTATTTCCATCTATGTGTCTTCTATTTAAGTTCCCAGTGAAATCCTATGCATACAATAAGGGAGAAATCAAGCAACCTTTTTTTTTTTTGGTGGGAGAGGCACTTAATAGGTGCTGGGCATTGTGATGTTAACCCTATCTATCAACAAACTCATATAACTCCAGGACAAATGTCATTTTATTTTCTGTTTTACAGAAGATCACAAGGTCAGTTTTTTTATAGTCCCCGAGTATACTCCACTCATAAAAAGGGCATAATGAAGATTCTTACTGCCTAGGGTTGTCAGAATGATTTTTGCATAGATGATGACACAGAGTAAAACATAGAGACAAAGAAGAAGTTGTTGAAGGGGCAGAATTTTAGAAATGAAACTAGAGAAACAAAGATAAACAAACATCAAGGCTGAGTAAGACTTACAGAGAAGGAGAGAGAGATCAGGATGCCACAGGAGAAAGTCTAAAAGAAGAACAAAATCAAGGTAAGATAAAAGGATTGTTGGTGCAACTTCTCCAATTGGGACACCTCAAGCACTTTTAGATATTCTTGATGCCCTGGGGTCTTCCTAGAGGTTTGTGGGAGGAGGTAAACCTACATCAAGAAATAGGCAGATGCTGCCTCTGTGTCTCAAGTAAGTGTGTTTTGATTCCTGCTGCATAAACCCTGGGCACCACTACACTCTGCACCCAGCCTTCTTAAGAACAGTCCCTTCTTGTCTGTCTTCAGAGCAACAGAAAATCACCACAATGTCTCTTTTCGATAAAGACCAAAGGCTAGAATGTTCTTAAGTTATCCCATTCATCAGAAGACTTACGTTGCAACATGAACGTTTCCATTTGGTCACTAGGTATATCTTCTTTAATGACATGATATAACAACAAAACATTTTTACTGATGATGTAGATGAGTAAATTTCTCTATCTCTCACAGCCGTTGAAGTCTTAGGATTTGTTTTGGGCTTGTGAATCCAACACACTTTGTGTACATGTTGGGTTTGTCTCATACTATTCTGATTATGCAGTTTCATAATCTAAAACTTCAAAACCTTTACCTAAAAAGTGATGATAGTAATGTCATGCAAGATTTTTTTGTGACATTAAACATAACTTACATAGTACATTTGGTATGTAACCTACTACATTATTGTTTGATAACTGATAGTCATTATCACTTTCTTTGTAACCACATTTTTCATCCTCCTCCTTCTTACTATCATCACCTCTTATGTGGGAGAGATCTCCATCATGTTGGATTGGTGGAGAAACTAATACTTAGGGAGAATGATGAGAAAAGGTGACCTTTGGAGGTACAAGCAGTATTGGACTAAACCATCAGGAGGAATTATGGAGTCACAGTCTGGAGTGTGTGACTCAGCTGGAAGCTGAATACAAAATGTCCCTAAACAGAAGCATCAGGGACAGACACAGGGCAGCTGATACTGTGCCCACAGTTGGCACAGTCCAACAAGATTTTCAAGGATAAAAAAAAACAACAGTCCTAAGAGAGAGCACTGCTGAACCATGTTGCCCTGTTTCTGAGCAGCAGCTGCAAGCAGGGCTAGCAGCTGCAGCTGTTCTTAGAAGCCTGGATTCCCAGGGAAAGTGGGCATCAGGCAAAGCAGAAGGGAGGGAGCAGCATGTGTGGGGTAATGCCACGGCTTCCCAGAATGGGAGATTCCACTGCACAGAAATATGAGGGAACTGAGAAAAGGGGGAGATGTGTGGGGCAGCAAGGAGAGGGTGTTCTGAATGTGAAATGATGCTCTGTATTGAAAGCCTGCTAGAGAACTATCTTGGAGATCAGAACTTTCTAGCCATTTATGCTCTTAGATTGTTACATAAACATGGGCAGATAATTTTAATAGCTAATACTAATTGAAAACTAATTAGGTACCAGGAAATGTTCTTAATCTTTTCCATAAACAAATACTATAATTCTTACTACATTACGAGATCTACACTAGTATTGCCTACATTTTACAAATAGAAATCTCTGGCACAGAGGGGAAAAGCAGTTCTACCAGGTCTCTTAACTAGAAAGTTTCAGAACTGGTATTTAACCCGGAACTATGACTCTTGAGCCTACATTTCTTGTAGCATGTTTAAAAAAATTTTAACTGACATAATAATTTTATATATTTTGGGGCTGTGTGATATATATATATATATAATATGTAATAATCAGATCAGGGTAACCATAACCATCTCTTCAAACATTTGAACATTTGTTATTTCTTTGCTTTGGGAGCATTCAAAATCCTCTTTACTAGCTATTTTTGAAATATACATTAATTGTTAACAAGTTACCTTAAGGTGCTGTAGAATACTAGAAGCAATTCCTCCTATCCAAGGCATTCTTGTCTCCATTAACAATCCTCTCTCTCCCCTCTCCATTCTTTCCAGACTCTGATAACCATTATTCTACTGTTTAATTCTATGAGATAATTTTTTCAACTTTTACAGATAAATGAGATTATGTAGTATTTGCCTTTCTAGGAAGTATAATGTTTCCCAGTTTCATCCACGTTGCCAAAATGACGAGATCTCATTCTTTTCATGGCTTAATAGTATTCCATTGAGTATATGTCTCACATTTTCTTTATCCATTCATTAACCCTTGGATACTTTGGTTAATTCCATATCTTAGCTATGGTAAATAGTGATGAAATAAATGTGGGAGTGCAGATGTCTTTTTGACACATTTGTTTCATTTCCTTTGGATATATAATCAGTAGTGGGATTGCTGGATATGGTAGTTCTAGTTTTATTTTTTGAGGAATTCTAATACTTCTTTCCATAATGGCTATACAAATTACATTTCCAGCAAGAGTGGGTGAGAGTTCTTCTTTCTTTTCATCCTTGCTATATTTGTTATTTTTTGTTTTTTTTACAATAACCATTCAAATTACGGCGAGGCTGGGCCTACCATACATTTTTATCCTTCATTCTCAATCAGAGCTGTCCAATGATGGAAATGTTCTGTAACACTGAGTGCTTGAAATTCAGCTAGTGCTACCTAGGAGCTAAATATTTGATTTTATTTATTTTTAATTAATTTAAATGTAAACAGCCTCACATGACTAGAAATGGCCCAGTGGATTGAAAACCTTCAAACTTCCTAAAGAGACAGATCTCTTTTTCTCTATGCAGCTCAGTTAGTTTTTTCTGTCTGAAAACTTTGGACTATATTTGGGGATGATAAATATGTGAAAAGATTTCTCCAATTCCTCTTTGCCTACTCATGCAAATATCATTTTTCAAGCATGACTTTTTTTACTACTGAATGTGGACATTCCTCAGAATCTGCAGAGGAATCTAGGCTGTCTCTGTCAAGAGCATAGACTCTTCAATGAGAAGGCAATGTGCATCTCTGGACTTCTGAGGAAATTACCAGGTTTAGGCATCCGAGAGAAGCCATCTCATCTAGCCCACTGTATTTAAGTAACACTTCTTTTTTTCCTCACAAACAGTTCTACCTCCATCAAGTTGCTCTTCTCTCACACAGTACATCCTTCATCCCTCAAGCCTCAATCCAATGGGGCCCACCTTTTGCTGTATGCTTAAGTTTTTAGCTGATTTTCTCAAAATGCCTTGTCTAAGTCAATTTTGCTACACTTCCTTTTCAGCAGAGATGAATAGGGAACAAAGAAATATTTTTTTCCCTTCTAAATATATCACTGAAGATGACCTCTACTATGATCCATCAGAGACCAGGCAGGTGCTAGTACCTGAAAACACGTGGGAAACAATATTCTTCATATAATTCTCCAACTAGAATTTTATTTTGAGCTTGGAGATGCCCTGAATAATACATCTGTGGCATCAGCCTAGGCTCTGGAAGCTCTGGGCCTGTACTGGATGAGTGTTCTTCTAGTCGATTCTCACTAACCTACTCTTTCTTCCTCAAATGACCTACCAGCTCCTCAACCTTCCCTACTTTTGTGCCTGTCAAAGTTGTACTCAGATTTCCAGATGCAGCCCAAACATAAGTTGCCCTGGGAAGCCTCTTTGACTCTGCTCCTAACCCATGCCTCTCCCAGTCTGGGTAAAGTTTCCTTACTTCACAATCCAGTAACTTTTTTTCTCACACCTCTATCAAAGCACTTAACTCATTCGGCTGCACTATTGAGTTTCTGAATCTGTTTCTCCTGGAAGCTCTTAGTGCATCAATAGTAGGGAGATAAATTACAGGTCGCTGTCCCTAGCACC